AAAGGGATTTTGAGGGGTGGGGGTGTGGTAATAGGGAGGTAAATATTTAAGAACAGGATGGATGGAAGGTTGTATTGGCTGGTAGCTGTGATACTGGAAACTTATGCACGACGATCATGTAAGAGACTGGAAACTGATGTAATGATAAATACCAATTCATGAATTCTGTTGTATTTTATCATTGTGTACTGCAGGCGATACAATTTACATAAATTAGAGACATTATTCTGTTATTTTTATTGACCTTTTTCAATAATTTCCATTCGATCACATATTTAACAGAAAGCATTTTCCCTTTATTACAAGTTTGGGCTTTATGCTGAACAAGGATTGAACATTTAGTTTAAGTAAGTTGTGTACAAATATGTTTTTATATACGGAATGACCTGATTGTCAACTTAATCTCGTGTGCTGAAAGGCCATTGACGAATAAATAAAGTCAACTTTATATATTGAAACGTTGTTATTACTGATCTTATCAAAAATGCAAGTTTGTTTATTTAAAGGAAAATGTATCAATCAGAGCGGAGAATACTTGTCCTTTGAAAGGTATAGATAGTTATCGTCCTTGCCAAGTAACGTGATTTTCATGGAAGATAGGCCAAATTTCGTGACGTTTTCTTATGTTGTTCATGATCTCCTATAAATAAACTTCATTACTGCCAGCTAATGATTACTTAGTTTAATAAATCATATATACAATGACACAAATATAATTAAACCTGCAGCAATATTACGCCGTCAAATCCACTTTCCGACTCGTTAAGTCGTGGTTATTCACCATCAACTTGATAAAAAAGAATATGAATACTTCGACACGGTTTCTTGACTTTGAATAAGATTTTGGAATTGATCACATTAAAAACAACATACAATTGTTTCCTTTCCAGTGTTACAGAGCTTGCAGAGAGGACAATCTTTTCGTTTCGCTTTAATAAAAAAAATTGTACTTAAAGTAATGTGTATCATTCTAAGGGATTTGCAAAGGTTTAACCAGTTCTCATCTTTAAAATCAGAAAGTTCTCCATTCTTTTTTTTTTTTTTTTTTTGCTCTTAAATTTTGGCGGTTCTCTCTCTTCTTAAAAAAATCATAACATGCTATTGAACCTTTAGTATTTTTAATAGCTATTCAGTGACCTCCTGTTGTTATCGATAATAATAGTAAGCCTTAGCGCTGCCCAGGAGCCCAACATAAATATAATTACATATACTATTAGGAAAGGACTTCAAAATTTCTCCTTATCTGAAAGTTAGAAATCATAGAAGGACAGTCTGGGCTGGACATAGAAGACAAGGACCCCCCTCCGGAAGTGCAGACACAGTGCAACACTAGATCAGTCGAGAACTCCCCTCACGTTGCCAGAGAATCGACTTTAGTCGATTGGACAATGCCCGGCAAAAGGCAGAGTCACTGAGACTAAAAGGCATCATCGCCTTACCATTCTTTCGAACTGAGTGGCGCTTGAATGCCTCCTTTTGAGGGAAAGACACCCCCACCATCCTCCCTTTGGTGTACTTCTAATATAGGACTCATAGAGTCGTCTGTATGGGTGTACGCTCATTTGCATACATAGTACACAGTTTCACTTAAAATGCAATGCAACGAATAAAACCAACCTATCGAGAGGTATTCATGCTTAAAACAACAAATTACGTAGCAATAGTTTCGCGAAAAAAGTTAAATATGGTGATATTTTGAAGATATTGGGTACTGGTGTTGCAGATCTGTTTTACATACGTTCAATATACGTTATCTATCCCGTGATACACAATGATATCATGTAAAAACAATTAATCACAATTAGTTAAACGGAGGTAAAGAGCGATATTTAATTTCACAATTTACGTAATGTAATATCCAACATTAGGCCGCTGTCTGATTTCGTTATATATTCTGAAATTGGTGTATTTTGAAATGAACAAATTTGAAACACCGCGAATAAGATTTTTCCTGTTATATATATAGAAAACAAAAGCGAGATCAATACACGTCTTCTAATAGAAGACAAGTGTGATTTTCCTGACACGCATGGGCTGTCACACGAACAAAGCTACCTGAAGTAGTGTTCTGTTAATCCCTTTTTCTTAATCTCTTTTATGTATGTGACTGTGCTGTGTGCGTTACGGAGTTTTTATACACAATTGGAGATCCTTGTGCACGCGGGATGGCCGTGTCCTTATATTTTGGTTTTTGTTAAGGAATTTCCGTAATATTCTACGCTTCAGGTTAAACTATATGAGATGAGCGATTCCAACAGTGCCCGTCTTCAAATACGTTTGTCTAGTTTTTATTAACTGCTGTAAATTGCATTTGTATTGAGAGAGAGAGAGAGAGAGAGAGAGAGAGAGAGAGAGAGAGAGAGAGAGAGAGAGAGAGAGAGAGAGAACGAACATGGTAGAATTATATTTTGTAGATCTTTCCGTACCGTAAATAAAAAATAAAACAACATATCAGAAAAAAATACAAAATGTAGAGATAAAAAGACATAGCCTCAAATCATGATTTTTTTTATCATATCGATGGTTTTAACTCGTATAACAAAGCCAGAGGTTATAGTACAAAAATTAAGGGAGATAAGCGAGAATGGACAGAAAGAGGCGTCCTCTCAAATATTTCATATTAATAACATATTTAAGTTTCATTATTAGCGTCAGCCGAAACACTGATTTCTCTCAAACATACTTTTGGATATTCTCATTCCAAATAAACTTATATTTCCTGAATTAGAGAGTATGTTGATTTATTTAAATTTAGGTCATTATTTTTTTCGGCCTTAGTCTACTTAACTGTTCAAACAACAGTTTTCTCTGCCTTTTGATATTGATACGGTTGAGGAAATTAGAATCAATGGAAAAGGTTAACGATAGGTTTACGACAATACGTAGGCATATGGTGAAAGGCATTACACTTTGTTCATTTATCATCTAACGTGTTCCTAGATACGGTATTAACATAGAAGTATTACTTAGTATTTACTATAGAGACACATTATTGAACCGAGTTTCAGACAGAAATCAAAACATGGAAATGATTAGTTATAGGACAGGAAACTGGTTACTGAGGTACGGTTTCCAGCTGTCGCCCCTCATTTACGGTCGATTTATTCAGAATCGCTCAAATATCTGTGAAACATAGATTAGAAAAATCAACAACACGTAAAGCTATTTTTATGATAATGTATTGTGCATCTGAAACAAATCCATAGGTGCTTAGGTCGTAATAATGTGTGTTTAGGTCGTAATGATGTGTGTTTAGGTCATACTGATGTGTGTTTAGGTCATACTGATGTGTGTTTAGGTCATACTGATGTGTGTTTAGGTTATACTGATGTGTGTTTAGGTCGTACTGATGTGTGTTTAGGTCATACTTATCTGTGTTTAGGTCATACTGATGTGTATTTAAGTGATACTGATGTGTGTTTCATTCATTCGAAACCATGTATAAAGTAGTTTGAGAAGTTATGTGACTGCCATTTCATATTCAATATTGGAAAGCCTTGTCAAAACTCCAACAAGTTAAAGATTATCAGTAAATATTTTGTTAGGAGTGGAAACACAATGGAAATAAAAGACGATTATTAACGAGGGTACCTTCTGAGATATATCTGATGTAGAGCTCTCATTCGGTTTATTATCTTATGGTTAAATGAGCGGTGATATCTTTGATGATGTTGTTGCTGACGATCAGATGACTCGTCGATGATATGTAAAATCTGTCTGTCTGTCTAGCTGTCATTTTTATGATATATGTCTGTCCACTTGTCTGTAGACTTTTAGTCACTTTTAACATATGTTTTCGACTGACAACAGCTCACCTAATTCAAAAGTACAATATCTTGAAAACGTACCAGTAAAAGTATAGGCTGATGCACACAGGCAAACATTTATTTTGGTTTAGACGGGTTGTATTTACCTCCCGGAAAGATTTCAGTTATTGTATATCTGGAACATGGTATCAGATCTAGTCCTCTCCAACAAAACAACCCGGAATCTATGTTCCGGACAAGCGCGGCTAATATACTAAATCCGCTAGATGGTACGATGAGTATGTCACAGTTCACCAACGTATAGAAGTCCGATAACTGTTTCTGAAATCCTTCATCTGGATCGTTCAATACATGGGGCTGATCAATATGTGTTATGTTTCCTGGAGTATCTATCATATTTTCAGGGTAACGTTCCCTTGCCAAAACTTTCACACTGTCCGTGTCAGAAGCTACATACAAGTCGTATTCATCTTTATCTAATAAATCAAAATATTTCCATAAAACATCCAGTGGTTGTTTTGGCCCTACAGCATCCTGGGGCATATTTGGATTACGTCCTCGACGAACATGAGCACACGCTATCTTGTTTCGCTTTCGATTTGTTTTACGTTGGTTGTTTAACGCACGGGTAGACGATGGGGACCATTTGAACAGAAAATGATACAAGTATTTATAGATATCTGCTTGGTGATACTTAGTAATCCATGGAATGTCTGTATTGATATTTGGTCTTTTTCTTATGTTGTATGTAAAGTCCCAGTTCATACGCAAAAAGCTAATATCAGCCTTGAAATATGAATTAATGTCCTTTTCTCCAAGTAATTCTTTTTTCATCTTTTTATAATTATTATTTAGATAGTTGTGATACGAATGGTTTTTATTTGAAAGTAAAGATGAATTGTATCGCCAGTCGAAATTTGCTGGTATTACGTAATCATGCAGGAGACACGGTTTGTCAAAGTTAATGAGAAAATGTTTCTTTGTGAGAATAGAAATGACAAACGTGGTCATAATACCCACAAGTCTATCCGACCAGCCACCACAGTTCCCTGTCCTTTCCATTGAACAGTCGTACACGATATATGTTATTTTAGATTTGTTTTCATTAATGAATGAAATGTATTCTGACATAAAAGTTTCGAATGAGGAATTTTCCAAATTTGGAGGTCGCTGCTTTTGTTGGAACTCTCCCAATGATAAGGTTCTCTTACTGATATCGCGATGATACGTCATGCCCAGTACCACCACAACCACGGCCACCGATACAGGATACCACAGCCAACGACACTATAAAGAATAAATGTTATAATAACTTAGATCATTAACTTATATCATTACACAACTCTCAGCACAGCGAGAAAAAAAGCTGAGTGAATACCGCCATCATCAAGTTCAACATTTGGACCTGATCGAATACCGCCATCATCAAGTTCAACATTTGGACCTGATCGAATACCGCCATCATCAAGTTCAACATTTGGACCTGATCGAATACCGCCATCATCAAGTTCAACATTTGGACCTGATCGAATACCGCCATCATCAAGTTCAACATTTGGACCTGATCGAATACCGCCATCATCAAGTTCAACATTTGGACCTGATCGAATACCGCCATCATCAAGTTCAACATTTGAACCTGATCGAATACCGCCATCATCAAGTTCAACATTTGGACCTGATCGAATACCGCCATCATCAAGTTCAACATTTGGACCTAATCGAATACCGCCATCATCAAGTTCAACATTTGGACCTGATCGAATACCGCCATCATCAAGTTCAACATTTGGACCTGATCGAATACCGCCATCATCAAGTTCAACATTTGGACCTGATCGAATACCGCCATCATCAAGTTCAACATTTGGACCTGATCGAATACCGCCATAATCAAGTTCAACATTTGGACCTGATCGAATACCGCCATCATCAAGTTCAACATTTGAACCTGATCGAATACCGCCATCATCAAGTTCAACATTTGAACCTGATCGAATACCGCCATCATCAAGTTCAACATTTGGACCTGATCGAATACCGCCATCATCAAGTTTAACATTTGAACCTGATTTCCAACGAAGTAAAATACAGTCAACCTTATGGATTAAAGATTTGCTTAATGATTTTGTCAATGACATTCTGGCTTGTTCTGAGAATACACAGTCCAACATATTTTCTTTCATAATCTGGGAAATCACAGAAGCTCCTTCGATAGTTTTGTCCGCCATTTTCTGAATACCTAGTTTCCTCGATGGTTATATTAGAATTCCTAAAGAACCATATTATTCTATATGTGATTAACCATTTTATTAAATACTGAAATCTTTCTCACTCTTAGAGGGAAATGTAATAAATTTGGAGAACACGAGGCATGCCCAGTGTTTGCAAATTAATAATCTTTCTCGAAGGTTGAGATACCCTATCTCACCAGCTAAGGGGTGAATAAATATTTTATCTTACTCCGTGCCCCTCGTCTTATCTCTGTGATGACACATGGAATTTGCACACAAGTAAAGGTAGGGTTCACCTATCATGTGTAAGATTACACAAATCCCGTCTACCTTATTTCTGTATTTCATCTTGAAAATTCTTACTACTCTAGAAATACATATTTCCTGCTAGGATTTTTAACAATAACCTCAAACTTACGTTTTCCTTAGGTTTTGTTTACACCTATATTTATTGATATCTTATATAGACAAGTACTTGACGTTCTTTTAAAATCAAAACATTTAACAACATTATGAAATTTATTGAAAGATGAGGTCCGGGCATCTCCCCATCTAGATACTTGACGTTCTTTTAAAATCAAAACATTTAACAACATTATGAAATTTATGGAAAGATGAGGTCAGGGCATCTCACCATCTAGATTGTGACAATTCTTTCGACCATTTTTTTTCCTCTGAGGAGGACGAGACAGCTACATGGTACAATTCTTTTCACTGTCTGTCTCTAATGTATGTAACCCTGAATTTGTATTTTAAACTTTATTTGTTTTACAACAATTGCGAAACAAGTTATTTCAACTTATATTAATCACTCTTGTTGGTTATGATGTGAGCGCGCGAGGGGTCTTATTATGGGAGGAAAGCAGAGTACCCGGGGAAAACCCACGTGGTCGGGAAGGTGACCCTTACCTTTACACGTCCGTTCAAGAGTTCCCGGATGGCTAGGTGAAACGCCAGTGCGTTACCACTGCGCCATCCGACCAGTGAAAAAGGTAACACCCTTATCTGTATCATTTCCAGGACAAATCGATAGTATTCCTATTTTCATGTTAAGTTTTCATTGTATTTCTTAAAACTGACCATTGTCATAATAATTTAAATCAATCAACATTGAACATTATTCGGATTCATAATTTTAGGCCAGTATCCTCACTAATGAGACATATAAAGGGGGGGTGGTGGGGCTGTGCATGATGCATTTTAATTCAATAATAGGCTCGATCGAATCTAATTTTAAATTTGTATCGGAAGGTATTAATCGTTTTTGTGTTATTTGTAGAATCTACTTATAGGAACCTCCATGATATTCATTGTACAATCATCATATATTATCCCATTTCACTCAAAAAATAACTGTTTCAAAAATGTAACGTTGTCCACAAAATATCAACTAACAACTAAAGGCAAATATACCATTGTGTTTACTTTGAATTAAAAGTGATATCTAAAATAACAGAAAGAAAAGATACTTACAGAACCTACAGACCAAGTCATCTTTGCTGTTCACCTCAAGGTAGTATTGTCGTTCAATCGTGTGACGTTTGTCCGATATAATGTGTTTGTAATTCGATTTTAAGCTATTGCATTTTGTACATATCAGAAATTCAATATGTAGGCGGAGCTACGTGTAAAAGTGAGTTATGTTGCCTATGTCTGGTTCAATGTATGTTCATTGGTTGTATGGGTGTATAATGTAGACTTACAAAACATATATACATCTACCTTTAACAGGTAGTAAGTACCTGTATAGTACCGCACATACAGCTGTTATTGGTTATACGTACCATTGTCGTGCTACATAAAACGACCAGTGATAAAGGTTGGAGATATGTTTAAAACATTATTGTATATTTACGTTTTAAATGTATGACAGGTTATCTTCGCCGAATCCATGATCTACAAGGAACATTTAAAGAGTAACTAAAAACTAGAATCACGGTTTGATGTTTACAATATTTGATATGACAGAGTTATACTGTATTGTATAATCTTTGTTATCTTCACGATGGTATGAAACTTCTTATGTCATATGGCATTTGTTTAAGTAAGATAGACAAGTAAAACATAAATCTTAGTGATGATCCGAGTGTTCTTTCAAACCTTAGTCCTCTGCAGGTACCATAAATTGTTTCATGTAGACTGCAGGTACAATACATCATGAATGTAGCCAGACAATGTTTTTCTGGTAAGTGATAATACAAGTTTATTACGTGCCCCAATCTACGTTCAACAGTTTTGTTTAAGGTTTTGATGCTCGTTAATATGTAGTTTCGATGTTGTGACATTGTTCTCATCTGAGAACGTGACATTACTCGCTGTGTCTGACCGTGCTATACCTGGCGGGTTTCGTCGTGAAGCAGATGCTTTACCCTTCTTATTCTTCTTCTATTTTCAAAACATCGAACAGCATTTTACGACATCCTATGCAGCCATGACAAACAACAAAGAAACCATCCCCCATTTTACATTGGTCTCCATACATATTCGTTTTTTCTTACATGCTTTTCTATTGTGCTTTATTTAATATAAATTGTACATCAGGCGCACATGGGAAACATGACATTTATAAATTAGTATTAGATACAGTGAAGCCAAGACATGAACGAACTACATCATACGACTGTTTTTGTCATTCTAGGATTCGTCTATTATTGTAAAATACCTAATAGCTTAAGATATAATCAAAATGGATTTGCGACATATATATATATATCGATTTTCGATTTTCTGCGTTTAGGTTCATTGCTCAAACACTGCATTGATTGAGTTGAAATAACAAACTTTGCCGATGTTAAAGAAATAATTTCTCAACATTCACCTATTTATGACATCCTCCATAACAATAAAACTAAGCTGTTTCCTTCATAAGAGTTCCGAATACACCAGGCTACACATACATATAAACATTTAACGTACTCCTGAATTCATCAATGAATTAATCGAACTGTGGGGCTAGTGCACATCCCAATCTACATTTTGGCATTATATTATTTGTACTATTATAAACATTATAACATTTGTTTTTCTTCAGTCGCCTCCTAGGTTTCAAACTCTAGGCCATTAGCATCACTGATGAGACCTAGAAGGACGAAACAGCATGATTAATTTTAATTCATTATTTGTAGCTAAATTTTTAAAGAAATCACTGATGAGACAATCTCGAGAAGTTCATCACTGATAGGTCATTTGTAAACAGCTGTATGATGTAGCATCACTGATGAGACAATCTTTAAGATTGTAGGTGTTTATATCACTGATTTCGTACCAACAACTGTATGATTAATTTTAATTCATTATTTGACTCTACTGTATCTTACTCTAAATTTTTAAAGAAAGTTGTTCATCTCTGATAGGTCATTTGTACAATCTTCGAGATTGCAGGTGTTTATCACTGATGTGTCATTTATACAATCTTCGAGATTGCAAGTGTTCATCACTGATGTCATTTGTACAATCTTTAAGATTGCAGGTGTTCATCACTGATGTGTCATCGAGATTGCAGGTGATAGGTCATTTGTACAACGAGATTGCAGGTGTTTATCACTGATGTGATTCGAGATTGCAGTGGATGTTCATCTTTAAGATTGCAGGTGTTTATCACTGATTTCATTTGTACAATCTTCGAGATTGCAGGTGTTCATCACTGATGTGTCATTTGTACAATCTTCGAGATTGCAGGTGTTCATCACTGATGTCATTTGTACAATCTTCGAGATTGCAGGTGTTCATCACTGAAGTGTCATTTGTACAATCATCGAGATTGCAGATGTTCATCACTGATGTGTCATTTGTACAATCTTCGAGATTGCAGGTGCTCATCACTGATGTGTCATTTGTACAATTTTGATGTAACGTTTGCCACAAGATTAAATGACGTGAAGCATTGCCAACCATACCTGATATCAAGTATTGAAAAAGAGAAAGAAAACTACACATATACATATATATCGTTTTAATTATACTGTAATATATACAACTGCATATAAAATGGTAATATTTATAATGAAACAATTTAATACTCATTAACCTAACACCTATCTACATGTTTTACCGTTTATCAGGAATTTTATGCGTCAGATTATTTTTGCTGATATTAGGTTGGTCCTTTTGCAATTTTCGTTTTTTAACGAAGTTTTTTTTTTTTTTTTTTCTTGATAAAGCAAAAAATGAGTTTTACATTTGTTGATTCTTGTTAAACTTTCAAAAATTACAACGACGCTAAAATCCCAATTTACGGTACATCAACAAATAATACTGTCATGGTATAAAGCACATTATTGAATAATAATATTTGATGACCTAGTTTAAGAAAATGTTATATCTAGGTCACTTAAAAATAAATAGAAAAGAAAAAGGAGTATGTATTCAACGACCAATTGCTTTTGGAGGCTCAGCAATGATGAAAATGATGGGATTTGTTTTACGTTTGTATTTTGAAAAAAAAAAACATCAATGATATGGTCATTCTATTTTTATGCTGACCTATGATATCTAATAAACATACATGTTATGCTGGTTAACATGATATATCTGTTATTTCTTATGGCTTTTGTTAAACTGAAATAGTTTCTCATCATTTAAGGTCATCTATACATAAAATATGCATTTCCACACAATTATTCAACTACATCATGAGTTTTGTATTTTGTAGGGTATCATTAATAACAATTAAAATGATATTAATCTAAGTACTAGTGGATTTCGTGAGAATTATCTATACATGAAATAATGTGTTAACGAAACACCATTTCTTATTTCTTACACCAAAAAATGTTACTTAATAAAATGTCATTTTTTAATTCAAAATTAAAATAATTAATTGAAATATAGGATTTTACAGTACATCCCATAATTTAACGATTAGGTTGTCAAAGGATCTCGTTAGCACAGTATATTAATGCATATCTATTTAGGGATTTGTTTTAAAATTTTCTCACATTCATTAGTGTGAAACAGTAAATGGTTTACAGAACCATCCATTGATGTGTAACAGTTAACGGTTTATAGAAATATTTGATGGTGTGTAACAGTTAATGGTTTACAGAAAGATTAATGGTTTGTAACAGTTAATGGTTTACAGGAATATTCGTTGATGTGTAACAGTTAACGGTTTATAGAAATATTTGATGATGTGTAACAGTTAATGGTTTACAGAAAGATTAATGGTGTGTAAAAGTTAATTGTTTACAGAAAGATTTAATGGTGTGTAACAGTTCATAGTTTTCATAAATATCCATTGGTGTGTAACAGTTAATGGTTTAAAAAAGATTTAATGGTGTGTAACAGTTAATGGTTTACAGAAAGATTTAATGGTGTGTAACAGTTAATGGTTTACAGAAAGATTTAATGGTGTGTAACAGTTAACGGTTTACAGACAGATTTAATGGTGTGTAACAGTTAACGGTTTACAGAAAGATTTAATGGTGTGTAACAGTTAATGGTTTACAGAAAGATTTAATGGTGTGTAACAGTTAATGGTTTACAGAAAGATTTAATGGTGTGTAACAGTTAACGGTTTACAGAAAGATTTAATGGTGTGTAACAGTTAATGGTTTACAGAAAGATTTAATGGTGTGTAACAATTAATGGTTTACAGAAAGATTTAATGGTGTATTTATATGCGATATTCTATAGATATTAACCGATTATAACGAATACATTCTTCGGTGTGGGGCAGCCCAAAGATTTATAGACTTCATTCATTCCACAATCACAACGTAATATCATATACAAAATAAAGAAAACGAATCACAAAATAATTTGTATACAGAGGAAACTCGATGAGTTAATAATTTTTTTTAACAGCGAAACAGTTTAAGTTTTTATATGTAATGAAAAAAATTAATAGTTACTTGAAGTAGAAATATACAAATCAATTAATACAAAAAATGCAGTTGAATAACTTTATAAAACATGGACACCGGCCACTACATAGCTCTTCTACACTGCTTAAATGGTCCTTTATCTAGATCGTAAATCGACATTCACAAGCAGAGTTATCGCCCTTCTCACATACTGACGATGAAAAACACAAACTTGTATACTAATTCATGTATATCAAATATTGAGTATTTAGACTTAATGGTTCGTGTACCTACATCTATATTTTACAGTGAGTATTTTAACGTTCTCTACAAAGTTACATAAACAGAAATACAAAGAGCAGATTACGAAAAGATAATATTAACAAAAAAGTGCAACCGTGAGTTTATGTAAAACAGTATTTGTTTAAAGAAATGCAAGAACATTTCTACAAGAGACAGATGATTATGAAATAAATTAATATAAAAATGAAAGAAAGACAAAACTTCGTTTGCTTTCTTTGAAATATTAAATAAACTATACAGCAAGGCCAAGATTCAATGTACAAGGCACATTTCTGAAACTAAAGACCATAAATGCATAATTTTCTCGTGAAATCTTTAAATCAATTTTCCAACAGTGTGCAGTTATAACAGCATCCTAAATATAAACAGCAATAGTTTCGTGATCAGGTTAAAGTTTCATAAAACACATATATAACAATGAAGGTTTGGTCGCTATGGAGATTTTTTGTGTTTTGATATCCGCTTTTATCTCGGCTCAGTGTCTAGTTCATATTTAAGGAATACAAAGCGTGAATGTTTCTGTTTTAATTTTCAGAAAATTACAAATCCTTGTCATAGGCACTGAATAATAACAATAGTTATGTTATGTTTTCGTTCAATTTTAACAAACAAAAAAATTGACACAAATTTTAAAAAGATAGATTTCTAAATTTTTGTTTTGTTTTAACGACAGACCACAGAGCATATTGTTATTTGTATGACCCAATATTAAAGAAAACTGTCAGACATTTCTGTAAGTGGAAACATTCTGCTTGTGACGAATTGGCCGAAGTTTTCCGGGTAAGTACGGCTTTCTCGCAGATTCTGATATTCAGTACTTTGTGTTTAGACCAGCACATCCATACACTATGGAGGTGATGAGTGCCATCCCAGCTGCTCCCACTGCTAACCAGAAAGACCAGGCATACTTGTATTCTTGCCCTAAAGCGAAATTCTCCGAGGTCACTACTGCATTGAAATCTTGGCTCGCTTTGATTCCAAACAACGCCACCGCCACTCCGATACACAGGACTGTCAATAATAAAAAATATATATAATGTAGACATAGAAACCATCCACAAAGTCTCAACACATTAACATGTTTCTCATATCATGTATATAGAGGTTCTACGAAAATCGTAAACTCTTCCCCACGTAGGAGAAAATACGGACGGACACACGGGGGACGGCGGGCACACTACTTATGGACGGACGGACTACGCGTCAAGGCTCTAGGTCGCAGGTGCTTCAGGCCATGCAAGCAAATGAGATATAATATGTATATATTTCACAATAGTATTACATGATCTGTCAAGTAGAACGATACATCTAACAACATTGTATAAGGGTTTAAAGTTACATCTGTCTCTAAAAGTAAACCAAATAGATTTTTAAGAATGATAAGATAAGACATCGATTTGATGTAATTAGAACAAATGTTGTGTGTTTATGAGATGTATAGTAATACAAAAAAAAAATACTGCTGTATTCGAGACCGAGCTGTAAGACCGGGTTTGTCCTCGAAACAACTTAAATATTTACGGTATTCTAACAATACAACCGAAAAAGTAAATTTTCAATATTTTGTTTATTAATCAGAGCAGTATTAAGATTTTAAGATATCAATTTATCTGTGTTTATTGCAGACCATTTCATTTATGAATGACGAAAATCAAGGAGAATTGATTGAAATGGCTCGATTCATTCTTGTGGAAATCCCAGCAATTTTTAAACGTCATTTCTGATGTATCTGAATACAAATTACAAGCTAATCCTAAACATTTCTGTGAAGCACAAGATAAAGTTATCAGGACAACTCGGCTAAATATTGGACAACTTATGATCGTTGTGTTATGTTCGGATTGTAAAGATTTTAAAACCGAACACATTACCACTGTCATTGACCAGATTTAATCTGAGGGGTTCACTATGAGTGAAAGCTGTCACTTATAAGGAAATACATTCTCCAATGGTGAGTAAATGGTGACTAATCAAACTAGATATTACACTTGAGCAATGGCTGGTGTCATGAGTGCATCGTAAGTGATTTAAACAATGGATAACTTCCTGTCATATGTGTTTACATGGAAATATTGACTACGACATCACGTTTTTCGTTTTAATTATTAGAAAAACTAAACTAGCTTTCTACCAAACTATCTTCATCTAGGCTTCTGTCCTTATACAAGTAAATCCTTTATAGAATCAAAAACATTTTCATCGGTCATTTTATATTTTTACTTTTTTTTTAATTGTTTATATCAATTTATTTATTTTTTGTTTGTTTGTTTGCTTTTTGGGGTTTTTTTTATATGTGTTTTCACCTCATATCATAAAAAATTGACGTAATTTTGAATCACCACGCCTGATTGACAAAGATAGTGATGTACGAAATTATCGAAGGCAAGAATTCATTATAAAAGTATAAAATATTGCAATCCATATTTATATCATAAGGACGACCTTCAAGCACACTCCATGTTTGGTCTTATGGTACAATTACATAAAAATGATTTTCTCCTCAAATAACATTTCTGTAGGACAAACATTGAGACCAGGCTGGTCTGTACACTCTGAAAGTTTATTTTAATGTTAATTTTAATCTTGTAACAGGCATGTTTATCTCTTTTATGTGAAACTTATTTTGTTTATTTGTATTGTTTAATAGATGGTGGCATTCCTTGTTTAAAAATAAGTATAAATTATCAGATTTTAGAATATTAGAAATAATGCATCTCGTAGATGTCAAGCATCATAAGCAAGAAACTAATAGCCTTAATTCTAGTTTATGTTGTAATCGTAAACAGTCTTGGTTTGGCATTTAAGCAGGTCTTGACGTTTTTTCCAATTGGCGCAATGATAAATTTACGGATCCCAAATCATAGCTATATAACATAGAACATTGTAATTAAGACAATTATATTTTAAAGCAATACTTTTAACGAGGAAATTTCTAAAATAATATAAACACTGAAATTTGTACTTTTGCATAACGTTTTTGATATGGTTTTCCTTCCGCTCTCATTTCTCTGAGAACCTCAGGAGTCACGGGTCCGTTGTTATCTTTTCCAATGAGAGAAGAAAACACATCGCTCTCAGTTAATCTCACGTGATTTTCACGTGATTGGATGCGTTCACAACATGGAGATATGACTAAACGGCTGGGCCCTTAAGTGTTCGATTCATTTTATCACTAATAACTATATTTAGCGTGGTCTCTACAGAACGATTACTGTATCAGAAAGAACGAAATGACGACGATTAAAAGTTGTTTATGCGGACGACAACGCTACATCTGTTGAATGAAATGGAAATTATACAACCGTCCACATCAGCTAAATTGAAAGAGATGTTAAATTCTCTCATTTGATAAATTTATCTAACTTATTACATTATACAACTTTACATGATAAAACAAGCTTTATAATTCATTCTGTTTGGTTGTACTTACAGCACATAAGTAGCAGTCCTGCCACAGCGCTGGCATAGTTACATCCATGACATTGACAGCACAGCGCAAGTGTGGCCACAATGAGGGCCAAGAGAGCCAGTCCGAGTCCCACAGACATCAGACCCTGAGTGGCCTTGAACCATTCTGTAAAGGAAAAACAGTAACGGCATTTAAAGACAAGATATTTAACCAATTCTGTCCAAAAGTACAACGGTTTCCTCTATATCACATAGGCGATAGCCATACATCTTTGTACAACGAAACATGCTTAGACTCTTGTGGTGGTTATAGAATGGTACCGGAAGTGACGTCACGTCAATCAGCTAGGGACATGACTTTTAGACTATGAATATGTTACTATGCATATGCCTTAGATTTATATAATCAAACACTGTGTTCGTCATTTGCCTATACAGCATCTAATATTTTCCCATTCGTATTGAAAGTTCCTAAAAGTGTATCTGTACAATAAAAAACAAAAAATAAAAAACAAAACAAAACAAAAACCAAAACTGAGATGTAAATAGAATCTTACATCAATTCAATTATTCGATTAAACAAAGGGCAAAATATGAACAAAAGAAAAATTACAAGGAGATTAAGTTTCCTCATAATCTTCATCAAATTCTTACTATCGTATCCCCGTGTATTAATTTGTCTGTCAGTGGCCGACAACTTGCACGAAAATCGTGTGATTGATGTTTGCCATATTGCCGGATGCCAAGTTTTACTTCATTTAAATAGTGACTCGGTCCAAAAAATATATACAAATATATACAATGCACCTGAATGACGAAACAGCTGTATGATGTAGTATCACTGACGAGTTCTAGAAGGACGAAACAGTTGCATGATTTAGCATCACTGATAAGTCCTAGAAGGACGAAATAGTTGAGTTATTTAGCATAACTGATGAGCCCTAGAATGACGAAACAGTTGTATGATTAACATCACTGATAAGTCCTAGAAGGACGAAACAGCTGTATGATGTAGCATCACTGACGAGTTCTAGAAGGACGAAACAGTTGAGTTATTTAGCATCACTGACGAGCCCTAGAAGGACGAAACAGTTGTATGATTAACATCACTGATAAGTCCTAGAAGGACGAAACAGCTGTATGATTTAGCATAACTGATGAGTCCTAGAAGGACGAAACATTTGAGTTATTTAGCATCACTGATAAGTCCTTGAAGGACGAAACAACTGTATGATGTAGCATAACTGACGAGTCCTTGAAGGACGAAACAGTTGAGTTATTTAGCATCACTAATAAGTCCTTGAAGGACGAAACAACTGTATGATGTAGCATCACTGACGAGTTCTATATCCTTAAAGTTATATTCAAAATCGCTATTCACCCGTGTGTCATTTGTATAATCTTTCCAGTGACATGGACGTATTCAGAATCGTCAGAATGTCTAGCCCAGCAGGACACTTCGGTAAGACATGATTCTAAAAATATCCTAAAATTCACATCAGTCCACAAGGGAAACTATTACATCAAAATATCAATAGAGAATAAATTGAATTAAAAATTTTTAAAAAAATAAATAGGAGACAATTTAAAACCAACAAACATACTTGACGAAATGTAACGTGTCTTCATTTCCGGTGCCGCATTTGGCACCTATTTTTGCGACCGAAACTAAAAGACATTAATCATAAATTTAAATCACATTCGATACGAATCTTGAATCTTTCCATAAGTTTTGTTATCTAAATGATTTGATAACGAATCGGATATTGGACATTTAGAAATAGGAACTTGTTTCTATAACTCCTTCACTGTGGATCATAATGTGACAGATATGGTAATAAAATCCGGTCTATAATCCATTCACAGAGTCCTTTATAAATAGAGAGTTTCATTTGATTCGTATCATTTCGTTTTGGCAAAGAGTCAGACATTTTCACTTTGTCCGTAATCCTGTTTTATAAGTCTGTGTATTAGTATGTAGCAGATTCTATCGGGCTAGCCTCATATTACAGTATACAGTATAAAAGACAGGTTGGAGTAGTGCCAAACAGTTTTAAGAGGAAACGATGAAGTAGGGCAAATCTTAACGAATGTATAAAACAACACAGCAGTTAAATTCCGAAATACAGAGAAGTGATTTGAGTCGTTTTCAGTGGGCAGACGTTACAGGAGCCACTGATGGATATAAAAAACGTGCAATCCGTGAAATCAACAAAGAACATTCCTAACTTATTAACGGAACAGTCATTCGAACTCGGATGCCGTGGAACTAGAGCATAATATGAGAAAAGTCAGGTTTAGACTAACTCTTTAAAAAGTTGAGATGATATGACCAGGTATCCCGAAGGGTTAGCGTCTTCTGCTTCATCGACAACACCCGACATGTATATCGGGTTCCCAAATAAAAACACGGTGAAATTACTCAGCCTATAGTCTAGTTTCTCCTACTCGTATAAACCTGTAACATGACAAATTCGGTCAGAAAAGTTCATATATTTAAATAACATTTGTTATACCTTTTTTTTTCTTTTTTTTTTTAACATAGGCCGAATTGATATCATTCTTTACTTTCTCTTTGAAAAATAAGTCAATATTTACATATATTTAGGACAATCTTGTGCAGAGAACATCTCTACCTAGTATAGTAACATTCTATCACATGATCGGCGTTTATCTGGACAGTGAACTCGCCCAGGTAAAATGTTTTTACCTCTATTGAGCGTTTTCATTGACTGTGTCAAAAATCGATCGTGATGTTATATCATCAAGGGTCGAAATTGGTGAAACAAAATGGCTGCCTTGGTTTGATTTTATCCTACATGTTTTGACTTTGAAAAACATCGAAATGTAAATTTCCTGATCTATGTGATAAATGTTGCACAGGTAACAGAGTTGTCCGGGATTTTAATGAGTTTTCCGAAAAATACTTGTGTCAGAATATTTATTTATATTGCACCTGCATTGTAATCAATTCTACGTGTCTGATAATTATTTCATCGTTGTCTTCATTCCTAATTGTTTAGAATATGACTGGATTTACACAAGAATACTGTGTACTTTTTTACTAGCTATACTCGTTAATGTATTGTACAGTAACCTGCCGCTTGTGTATCGGATAATTTGTATTTTTAAAAAAAGTCAAATTACGTACACGAATATGAGTATTTCAACAACGTCATTGTTTTATAGACTTGAATACGGTAATAAATTATGTTTTGTATGCAAGAGTGAGAGTCTCAACCTTTAAGATAAAATCTCAAAAAGGAACAATCGTGTTAGAGGAAAATCGTATCGCGCGTTGATATACCCTAGGTCGTCTGGAGATCACTGTTCTGTGATGATCTTCAGCATACGAATGGTGTTAAGTAGGGCCGCTGAAGTAAATTTGAAAAACGTGATTAGTATCAATTTGTGTGGGGAAATGGCGAAGTCTAACTGAATACCAATGACAAATGGGAAAGCGAAGTTAATCGTGTACCAATAGCTTCTTATATATTGTAACTTCAATTTGTATGTACGTCCGCCTTGGATCATGATGCAGACAGCTGATGAAATGTAAATATTACCAGAGTTATTTCCCTTGCGAAAGAAATCTTTTTTTTTTCCGCTAGCTGCTCGTCCTGATGATACTGATATACTGATGTGTAACATTTCATATGAAAAATCGATATATTATTTTCGCCCGAGAATTGGCTGCGATAAATCACTTGTTGTTAGCCAGTAATACGACACAGTGTTTACTCTATGACGGACTGGATGACGCACGGGATACAGAAGATATACTGGACAAATCAGCTGTTCCTGAAAATTACCCCAAATGTATTCAGAATTTAATCAAGGGAACATTGTATTAAATTGTGTATCAAACCATTTTAACATAAGTATATGGTAAATTCATTCGTCTTTACAATTTGATTAAGTAAAAGACTAGTTTGTGAGCTTAAAGCAGTCACGTACCTCCCCACTCAACACCCTCACCCTCCATCTCTGTGGCCCCCTAGGCACCATGTAATATTTCGATAGCAGCCGTTACATCATCAATCAAGATCGTCGATTTACCGCATAGAGTCCCGGAATACAAGCCCATTGTAAAGGGATAATTATGTAAAAGAGAGCTAAGGTTCATGCACACTGCATTTCTCCGTATGAGATCTATCTACCTAGGAAGTTTCCTGTTAATACCTCTTATAGTTCTTATGATATGCTCCGGACAAAATTGGGACGGACGAACGGACAAAGCGGCGACTATATGTTTTCCATTCGGAGAGCATAACAACCTTCTTTCAAACCTGAATAAGATATTAACCTTTTCGCAGACGTGAAACATTCCATCCAATGTAAACTATCCTTATGTTGTCAATATCCCAAAGTGTCAACATATTTCAAAGTGTCAACAATCCCTTTGTGTCAACATCACTTTTAGTGTCACTTTTCACCTAAATCGAACATAAATGCTATTGTCAATAATCTCCTTGTGTCAATATAATTTCTAATGTCAATAATTTTTCTTGTGTCAAAATAGTTAGTAGTGTCAATATCTCTCTTTGTGTCAACATCATTTGTAGTGTCAATATCTCTCTTTGTGTCAACATTATTTGTTGTGTCAATATCTCCCTTTGTGTCAACATCATTTGTAGTGTCAATATCTCTCTTTGTGTCAACATCATTTGTAGTGTCAATATATCTCTTAGTGTCAACATCATCTGTAGTGTCAATATCTCTCTTTGTGTCAACATCATTTGTAGTGTCAATATCTCTCTTTGTGTCAACATCATTTGTAGTGTCAATATCTCTCTTTGTGTCAACATTATTTGTAGTGTCACTACCTCTCTTTGTGTCAACATCATTTGTAGTGTCAATATCTCTCTTAGTGTCAACATCATCTGTAGTGTCAATATCTCTCTTTGTGTCAACATCATTTTTAGAGTCACTGTCTCTCTTTGTGTCAACATCATTTGTAGTGTCAATATCTCTCTTTGTGTCAACATCATCTGTAGTGTCAATATCTCTCCTTGTGTCAACATAATGTCTAGAATCAAACATATCCAGGAGACACAATCTATAAAACTAAATTCAATTTATGTTTTATTTTCTAGAAACAGGTTCTAGGCTAATCTTCTATTCGCAATATCAACGACTGCTTGTTTGAGGAAGTAAGAGCTTGTC